ACTGGCCCTTGCCCTACAAATAACAAATCTTACTCTCTCCAGTCTCCATTCGCCAAGACAAGACAGACAGAGACGGAAACAGGGGAAAGAGGGGACAACACAACCGACATCGAAAGCGAAAGCACCCGCACGTTTGCTTAAAATATCGGATAACTTTTGCTCAGATTTTAAGAGGCTCACCGAGGTCGTCTTCGACCACGCCGCCGGAGACACCATCTGCTCCGAGTGCGGTCTCGTTCTCGAGGCTCACTCGGTTGACGAAACCTCCGAGTGGCGAACCTTCGCCAACGAGAGTTCTGATAATGACCCCGTTCGTGTTGGCGGCCCCATCAATCCTCTCCTCACCAATGGTGGCCTCTCTACCGTTATTGCTAGGCCCAACGGTGCTTCTGGTGATTTCTTGTCGTCCTCCCTCGGCAAGTGGCAGGGTCGCGGCGCTAACCCGGATAGGAATCTTATTCAGGCATTTAAGTCCATCGCTGCGATGTGCGAAAGGTGTGATAATTAACGTCTTTACATTTATAACTGAAAAACCCTAAATTGTGTTCTTGTGAGGAGTTATTGGCTGTCGAAACTTAGTCGATTTTTTCCAAGTTTCCGGGTTAATCACTTACACCCTGTTTGGATTGAGGGAGACCAACGGAGAGGGATGGGGAGTGAAGGGGACGGATAGTAATTGAAGGAGAGGGAGGGGAGGCTGTCTCCTTCCTTATGTTTGGATATGCAAAGAGCAAGAAGGGGAAGGAGATGGAGGAGGTTTGGATCCCCTCAACAACCCCTTGCAACTGCAGATTTCCAATCCCCCCAATTTGGGGGGTTTGGGACGGATTTGGCGACGGTTTAGATTTTGCCAACAAAAATTACCATAATATCCTCTTTACCCATATTATTTAACACCTTCTCGTTCAGCTAGTAATCTAATTTTTAAATTTGACTAATCTAATTTGCATCAATCGAAATTTATATTTGAATAATTTTTCAGGGTTTGATTTTTATTAGTTATTTTATTTTATTATTTATTGATATCATTGAGACTATATTGTAATAAAATTATTTGTTTTTTATTTTTAAAATCATTTTTTACTGATTGTTTCATTTAATATTTATTTGTTAAATTTTTAATTTTATGTTTTTTAATCAATAATTTTTTTCCTCTAATTTGCATTTATCAATTTTTTAATCCAAAGTCATATTATTACCCAAAAAAAAAACATATGGTAAGGTACTGAGCTTCTTTTGTGTTTGGTTTCGATGGATAATGAAATGATTTAATGAATTGAACAAATTGACAGCAAGTAAAAACGAATAGACAACCCCATTACAAGGTTAAATTTGTAAATTTAAAATTAATTTAAATCTTCCCCTTTCCTTCCTTTTACCTTAATTATCCAAATATAAAATAATACAATTTTTTCCTTTCTTTCTCCTTCCTCATTTTTATTTATATAAACAAAATTAACACAAATCCTTTCTTTTCATTTTCTTCCCTTCCCTTTCTTTTCCTCCCCCTCCATTTCCTTTTATTTTCCCCCATCCCCCTCCCTTCCCTTCCCTTTACTATTTTCCATCCAAACAAGGCCTTAGTTGTACTAGGTTTTTCCTTTTTCTCTTTTTCTTTTGAAAATAATTTTTTTTTAATCAACTATTAGGATTTTGCACAGAGTTTGCTTTTTTTTTTTTATCTCTATTATTGAAGCCAATAGTGGTCTGGGGTGAGCTAATTTTGATCTTTGATTCTTTGGTATTTCATTGGATTAGTTTTTGATGTGGAATATCTGATGGTGCTCAATTCCTAGAGGTTATCAGGGCATAAAATTATGTGATACAGTATTTTAGGGAGAGTAGTTGGTTTAAAAATTCCGAGGGGAATTTCAATTTGGAAATTTTGGTTCTTTTCTAAAATATTTTTCTTTAATAATTGTGTTAAATTGTTAATGACAAATACAACCGACACAATCAATGGGGTGTTTCAGATTGGGACTTCCTGCCATCATAAAGGTACTTCTGTTACTCTGAACAGTTCTTGCAGTGCTTTTACAAATGCCTCTAGATTTATTCTAGTAATCTATATGCATAATTTCATTTCTTTATGGACTACTTGCACTGATTCTCTGTTTCATGTCATTAATATTCTTATTGTTGACTTGGAAACTCATCTTTGTAATCATATTGGGAAACTATTTTTCAGTCTTCTCATTATGCTGAATGAGCTTGAGAGAAATATGAGTTAGATATTGAAATGCATAAACAAGAGGAATGGGAAAAATGTTGGAGGTCGAAATTTGCATGTCAGATAACATGAAGTTCTTTCAGTCCATCATTTTAGTGAAGGATATGAGCGAGAGCTTCTAGACTTGTAGTAATTGTATTTAAAATGCCTTATAGGCCAGCATTACTTTTAATAATGGTTTCAGCACGTGAGAATGACCACATCATTTGGATGGGTAAGATGAGGTTTTTAGTGATGTTTCATGATTAAAGATGAGAACATGATTGATAAGTATGAGTGAGACTAGAAGGATTATTACACTGAAGTTAGTGCAGGGACACAAGCTCATTTAAAATAGCTGATGATAGGCCACCACCTTTGTTTTGTTTACTTAGCAAATGACATGGCATTGATGATTATGGAATGCTTGAAGTCTTGGACAGTCAGCATTGGAATCTCTTCTATTGGCATCTCTTAGAAAATTGTATTTTATAATTATGTAAATCAGTTGATGTGCTTAATGTTTATTGCTACCATAGTCCTTTACTCCTCATCACCAATAATTTGCAAGAGTTGTGAGTTCTGACCTCTCTTCCTTTGCATCATTTTGGAGCTTATAAATTCTTATTTAAATCATATCTAAACTGCAAAATGAGCATGTTGCGTTAATCTTAGTTTATTGGTTTCTAATTCATCACCATGGGGCATTAGGCTTATGTTATTAGTTTGTAATTTGTCTATGCAGCGACATCTCTGGAAGTTATTTTCCTTTCATTGGTCACACTGTTTAGGGTATTGTTTTCCTTAGGTTTGAATTGCTTTTCCCACAAATGCACTTCATCTTGCAGCATTTATAATTTCAGTTTTGAATTTCTATCAATGATGTCTAGTTTATAATTTGATTAATTCCTTTTGGTTCAAAATACTTATTTGCTGTGGATTTTTTAATTGGGTTTCAGGATCGAGCTAATGAAATATACAAAAGGGTTGAAGATCAAAAGCCTCTCAAAGGGCGAAATCAGGAAGCAATTTTTGGTGCTTGCCTTTACATTGCTTGTCGACAAGAGAACAAACCTCGGACTGTCAAAGGTTTAGATTCTTTTCTTCCATTCTTAGCCAAAACGGTTTTCCTGTCTTCATAATGGTTTCTAAAATCTAAATATGTTCATTTGTGTTCAGAAATTTGTTCTGTTGTGAATGGGACAACAAAGAAAGAAATTGGCCGTGCGAAGGAGTTCATTGTGAAACACTTGGAGCTAGAGATGGGTCATTCTGTAGAAATGGGAACCATACATGCTGGGGACTATATGGTATGCTCCTGCAGCAGCGGTGACCTTTTGATACTTCAATTATCTTACACCAGATTGCACCAGATTATTTCTGTTCTGTATTTTTCTTGTCATACATGCTCAATTATATCATTTTCACATTGTCCATCTTCAATCTGCAGAGACGCTTCTGTTCTAGTCTGGGAATGACTAATCAAGAGGTTAAGGCTGCACAAGAAGCGGTTCAGAAATCTGAAGAGCTTGACATTAGGTCAGTTCTTATTTTGTTCACTTTTGGCTGCACTAGAAGAATATATTCAGAACCCCATATTTAACATCTGATTAACTAACCATGTTCTGAATTATTGATTGCTTACCATGCATAGTATTGATAAAGAAATGTATAAAAGAAGGGAGAAATTTGTGGGAAATGGCATATTAGTGTTCCTTTTGCTTTGATTTCCATGAAAGCTTATATGTTAGAAATTTGAAGGGATAAAATGCAGTGCCTTGATTCTCGCCACTACTATTAGAGGTAATTTCGAAATATATATTCCGGATATTTTTGTAACATCTCTTATCTTGTGCAGGAGAAGTCCAATCTCAATCGCTGCAGCTGTTATCTACATTATATCTCAACTATCAGTTTCCAAAAAGCCTCTCAAAGGTTAGAAAAGTAGAAAAAACATATATTTTTTTTCATGTTTCCCATTGGCTTACTGCGCAGCTGATGTTTGTAGCTATGGATGCAGATATCTCTATTGCTACTAGAGTAGCCGAAGGAACCATCAAGAACTCATTCAGGGATCTTTATCCTCATTTGTCTCGTATAATACCTTCATGGTTTGCCACCGAGGAAGATATTAAGAATATATATTCTAGTAGAGGATGGTAAATTTAGCGTAGTTCATGACAATAGATGGTAACTTTCTATGGTTGAAATTGGGAACTTAGAAAGTAATATTCCCTCTTATAACCCCACATGACCACATGTAAATAAATACTAGGCTTTTATTGATAAGTTAGAATTTATTTACGTCAGTTTTTGGTTCAAAAAAGAAAAAGAATTTATTTAGCTCAGTTAATTTGGTTGAGCCATATGGCCCATAAGTAACTGGTGTTATCAGTTGATTAATCCAATTCTACATGCGGATCCTTTGGGGACTTTGTTACTTGGAGCTTGACGTCCAGTGATGGCTTCACTCCCACTTTAGTGATTATGTTGGCTTGTAGAGACAAGTCATACCCAACCGGACCTTTAGGTCCAATGGTTCAATCTTAAACTTTAAGTGCTTGGGTGAGGTGGTCGGAGTTTCGAACTTCACCATCGTCATGAACTCCACTAAAAAACGGTCTGATGACCGTGCATTTTATTTGAGAGGATTGAATGTTCACTTGATCTGAGAATCAATTGCTAATAACTAATTCATACTAACTTTCTAACAATTACTTTTATCAAAAAAAAAAAAAAAGTCATATCATTGGCATAAAGGCCTCTTTTTTAAAATCCGTATAATAAAGGCTCTT